AGTTCTTGTGCTGACGTTGATTCCAGAGGCAGTTTGGAACTCGGTAGTGAGTGTTGCAACCGAGGACAGACTATTTATACATGCTACGCGCTTCAGCACTCAGCGGTCCCCTTCTGTGAGCTTGTGTGGTCTACCACTTCGCGCCTGAGCCGTTGTTGCTCTTAGACATTTCCACTTCACAATAACAGCACTTACAGTTGACCGGGCCAGCTCTAGCAGGGCAGAAATTTGACGAACAGACATCTTATGACGGTGCCACGTTGAAAGTCACTGAGCTCTTCATTAAGGCCATTCTACTGCCAATGTTTGTCTATGGAGATTGCAGAGCTGTGTGTTCAATTTTATACACCTGTCAGCAACGGGTGCGGATGAAATAGCTGAATCGACTAATGTGAAAGGGAGTCCACATACTTTTATATATACTGTATAGTGGGGTGATTGCCATCTAAGATCCAACATATTTTTTGCGGCAGTGCTGCCTGCCAGTAGCAATCATCTCTGATTGATTGAGAGATTCAAGGAGCTATCATCGTTAAGTAATATTGTAGATGCAATGCATTGAATATTTATATTAATGCACTTTGAAATATCCTGTTCCAGTTAAAGGGTTGTTCAGATTCATTTAGATATGTGGATCATACTTTAATGGCTAGCTCAGAATATGAGCTTTCCAAAAGTTCTTTATATATTATAGAGATCAGTCCTTTCGGGAGCAAATCATTTATTTATAAATCCCATCATTGGATGGTTCGATAGTTGGGTTTCCTAAGAGACTCCATAGGCCAGCATAGCTAACCTACAGTAATTTGTAAATATAGAAAAAAAGAGTTGCCCGGCTATGCATGTGTCTTTCAAATCTTGGAATTTTCTCAAACCATTACTGTCCATGATATCAGCAAGGGTACGGATTCCACATTTGGACTATTGGGGGATGCATAAGACCGCAAGGCATTATTGTGAAATATTGGAGTAAGGGCATGTCATTGTGATTCCCAGTTATATTGTTTTTCAATTTTGCACCAAATAGACATTGTGTGAGCAATAATAGCACCAAATCATAGTTTACATTGTTTAATATGCAGAAATTGCGCCGCCATTTCCTGGTTACTAAAATGCTAATAGTAATTTTATAAGTAATTTAATAGTAAATTCTTAATTTCAGTCTGTGTGACAAAACAAGCAATAGTATAGCGTAGAGAATCATTATACCATCTAAACAGCTGTGAAATATCTTGTCCTAACCAAAAGTATTGTATTTTCAGCTGTTTGAAGCTGGTTTACAAAACCAAAAGTAAAAGATGCAAAAACTCAATTTAAGAACAGGAAGCATGCTCACATAGAACACATCTACTGCTTCTTAGACTTCAATGAGAATGACAGATCTATAACTGACATTTATGTGAATTTGGTCAGGTCGCCCAAAAAGTTATATATTGCAGCTTTTAGGGAGATAAAGACCAACTCTTCCAGGGCAATAGGAGACACCACATTTCTCTCTATACTCAGTCAAGGGGCAGAAGAATCATGTCTAAAACAATTTAGGATGGGACGAAATGCTAGTTCCCGGAAATACAATTTTAAACAGTGGTTCTCAACTGGTTTTGCCTCAGGACCCAAATTTAATCAGGTTGTCTCAGTCTCGACTCAATATTCGCATCATGAAAAATAATCACCAAAATACAATCTGGAAAACTATTTTTTATATTAAATGTAGCAATTTTATGACAAGGGAACAACATCCCCACCAATAATCAAATGTTGCTCATATTCTTTATGAAGAATGTTAATAAACTTAAGACCACAAAATCAACCAAACTAGTGCTGCTAATACAATAGCGCAGTATTGAAAATACTGTGATTGATTAAAAAAAAAAATATATATATAATATTATACAAAAATATAATTTGATTATCATTTCTACACACTTTCTACCTGGTTTAAGTTGTTTACGTTCAGAGAGGAGTATTTTTTCATTAAAAATAATAATAATATATATACACTGAACAAAAATATAAACGCAACAGGTAACGTGTTGGTCCCATGTTTCATGAGCTAAAAAAAAAATACGCACAAAAATGTATGGAGACACTAATAAGCTAGTTTTAAGTGACTGGAAATGTTTTGGTAAGCTGTGGGGTGGGGGAAGGATTAATATCGTAAAATATCCCCATCAATTAGATTTATTTTACTAGGAAGTTAACGTCGGCTGTACCTGTGCCAAAACTCTGACATAGCTCCTCTAGCTTGTTCATCTTTAAGTGGTGAGCCAACATTCACTTAGTCGTGGCCAAAAAATATTGGCACCCTTGCACTTTTTTCAAGTAACTCACAATTGTCCCTAAAAATAAGTTGAAATTTACCAAAGTATTTGGTCTCCACAATTCTGTAACTATAATCAAGCGCTTCCTATAGCCATCGATGAGCTTACTGCACCTCTGTACTGGCAGTTTGGCCCACTCCTCGTGCTAACTGCTCCAGTTCTCCCAGATTTGAAGTGTGCCTTCTCCCAACTGCCGTTTTCAGATATCTCCACAAGTTTTCAATGGGATTTAGATCTGCACTCATTGCTGGCCAATTCAGAACAGTCCAGCGTAGTTACACAGGTGCACCTTGTGCTGGGGACAATAAAAGGGCACTTGCCACAGATGTCTCAAGTTGAGGGAGCGTGCAATTGGCATGGTGACTGCAGGAGTGTCCACCAGAGCTGTTGCCAGAGAATTTAATGTTCAGATCCGGCTTCTTCACCTGCGGGATCGTCTGAGACCAGCCACCAGGACAGCTGATGAAACTGAGGAGTATTTCTGTCTGTAATAAAGCCCTTTTGTTGGAAACAAAACTGTTATGTAATATCATATTAATGAAATTGGAGTAAAGTCCCATATGTTCCAAAAACGACCAAAGATGTGACCATTATAGTCTATCAAAAGCTTATTCTGCGTCGAGAGATAGAACTGCCCAAGGAGTTTTGGTTTCTGATGAAGCATGTAAGATATGTAATAGACTGAGGTTATCTGAGGATAATAGTTTTTTTCTTCTTTTTTTTTTTACTTGCTTTGGTCCAAATGTACCAATTTGGGCAAGTTTCGAGATGGGACAGTAGAATTTTAGAAAATTGTTTAATACCAGTGTATATCAAATATAGGGGGCGATAGTGAGAGCACTGGGTGGCGTTCTTACCTTTAGTTAATAAAAGCTAAATTAGTGTTGCATTTACATCCCTTCCAAATGAATGGCTGTGTTCATCATTTCAATTAACAGTGGTTCCAAAATGTTAAATAGATCTCAGGAGCCATACAGTCCAAACCAGGTGATCTGCCTTTATTCAGGTTATCCAATGCCCTTATGAGTTCATGGAGAGATTTGGGAACGCTGGCTTCCTCAGTTGAGAGAAGTTCTTATATCTTTTAAAAAAAGGACTCAATCTGGCTTGGTGAGGATTTACAATCAGAGGTGTACAATTCGTTTCCGGTTCCAGTGGCATGTGATGTTAAGTCGCTCTGGATAAGAGCGTCTGCTAAATGACTAAAAATGTAAATGTAAAAAAATGTGGCCTTATTGTGTCTTTCTTATGGCATTTACTATGAATGAAACGACTTATTTCCAAAAACTTGTCAATCCTAAACTAAGGTGTGGGACATTCATTGTGTGACAAGAAATAACTAGCAGGTATAGTACGCTCCAGCAGCTAGAATTTGTCCTTCCACAAATCAACTGTGGGAACATGGCGGCTCTCAACCCCAGGCAACAGAAGGAGCTGGCCGCTAATATCTGAGAGAGTTCGTAAGATTACCTCTGCCTTCAATTTAAAATTAAAACCGGTAAATTAATTATTGGTAGTGCTCACTGCTAAAGTTGATATCTATTTCAACCAAAGTGGAAAGTCTGGAGAAGAGAGCCAATCCAACAGAGGTGCGACTCCATGGCCTGAAAAAAGCGCAAGCCAAGGTCGAAAGGATAATCAAACTCCTAAAAGAGAAAACGGAATCACTCTAAAATAATTCCTGTAAATTCAATGTGCAGGTTACAGGATTTGAAACTGGTGTGGAAGCGGGCAACTCAACTTCCTTCATGAGCAATCTTTTCTATGAACTGTTCGGCTGGAGAAGCTCCGCAATGGCTCTCGCTGTATGATTGTACAGATCCACAGCTCTGAAGTCAAGTGGCGAATTGTTCGCCTTGCAACGGAATCTGGGGGTCTGACCTATGCAGGGAGAGGATCTGTATCTACCCAGACCTTCAGTGCCGAACTGCTAAAACAGAGGGCGACCTACAACAAGGTGGGATCCCAACTACGCAAGCAAAACCTGAGCTGCGGCAAAACTCACCTTGACCTTCCAGAACACAACACACACATTTTCAACTGCCAAGGAAGCTCAAGACTTCTTCGAGAAGCGCATTAAACCCACAAGGGGATAAGCCGACAAAAAACAACAGCCAGGCATAGCAGAGAACAAAAAGCATTTAATCATCAGAGACATGTTTTCAATGACAACAGCAATGACAGACAAACACAGGCCAATGTCCCATTAATTGCCCACCTGAGGCCGAACCCAACTGGCTGTGAGTGGGACCCGTCAGGGACCCACCACAGAGAGAGGGGGGGGGGGGAGAAATAAAATATATCACTTACTCTCCTTAGATGACAGCCACACCTGACGGGTGCCACTGAGAAGAAATGACCATGACATACACTTGGCCCCAGTCGAGCAGTATTAAACCATGAATACTCTGTCCTTCAATGTCTCCCTTGTGTACTACTCTCTGATCACGGGCTGCGTAGCCAATTTGCCATGTTTTATCAATCAAAAAAGAATTTATGTTAAAAAGCACAAGTGTTTTTTTTCTCTCAAACATAATGGAAAATGAGAAACAAATATGACAATATTCACATATGTACATAGCTAGTTTTCTAACACAAAGACACTGATTTTCAAAAGAGGTAAAAAAATATATATATAGTAAGAAATAAACTCTCGGCCACTGTTGACCAAGTTTGGAGTCATTTCCTTGCTGTTCTTGACCTTAGCTGCCTCTTGATAATGAGATGATCACTTTCTTTTTCATCTTGATCAAGACCAAGGATCTGCAACATTACAACAAAAAACACAATATTAGCTTGCACAAGTGATTTGTTAATACCACCTAAATTGATAAAGATTTGACACAATCCATGTCCGATTAATATTTTTAACATTTTCACATTAAAAGAGCAAACTATCCAAGTCTTCTGAGGCCATGCTTCCAGATTTTGTCTTGTTGACTCGAATATTCCAACTTCAGTATTGTATTTTGCGTTTGATTGGAAACACCGGCTGTTAACGCTCGCATATGATTAGCTATTACATTTCCCCTCAGGAGAGGCATTTCCTTGTTTTTCCATATTTTGTCTGTGCTTTTCCTACCATGTCAGACAGAGTTGCTGGTCACTCACCGGATGAGACGGGATGTCCAGAGGGGAGGAGATGTCGGTCTTGTACAGTTTCCTCTTGGTCCTCTTCGGTTTCACTGCCGTGGATTTCTCTCGCTCTGTAGGATTTCCACTTACGATCCCCATAATTGTCTTGGCTATGGATAGAGACATAGTTATAACATATAATAATAATAATATTATTTTGGCTGAATGTCTGATGTGTGTGCAGTACACTGGCATCAGTGAAGGAGAACAGCAGTCTTGCTAACCTTTGCTTCCGAGCAGAGTTGGGGAACTCTGGATGAAGTCTCCAATCTTCTGGAGGGTTCCATCCTTTTTGCCTTTCAGACTTGCTGGTGTCCGTTGCGTCTTCTGGTCTGCTTTTACACCGAGCACTGTCGGCGACTGTTGACATGACATACACACAGGATAAGCTTTACTAGTGGCATTCAAATGAGTTATGACGCAGCTTAAAGTTGTAACATATTTCAATGTTGATCTAGATTCTCTTCTCACCTCTATGTTCACTCTGTTCCCCCTCAACTTTATATTCTTTTTGTTCTCACTTCCCACAGGGTCCTGAGGCACAGAGACCATTTTAGAATTTGTGAGAGAAAGAGAGAGACACACACACAAAAACTTGACACACCACACAGTGTTGTATTACAATGAAGGGGTCAATTCGTCAGGACATCAATTCGTCAGAATGATGCAGTCCTTCGCTGAATGTATCGCATAATTGAGATCGAATTTCAAAGGGATCTGGTTAAATCTGTGTTATGGGCAATTCCATTGTTTGACATACATTTGAAAGTGAACATTCTGAGTCTCAGCATCATTCAGTTACCATGGAATTGCCCTTATAATTTCTTCCAAAATAACACATAAAAAGGAGGAAAAGCAACCAGGACCTTGAAATACTATCCAATCTGTCATGAGACTGGAATGTGAAGGGACTCAAGGGATTGTGCCTGTAGTTTTCCAGGTTCCCACAACTGTTTATACATCTATATATCTGTTGATATTATTCTTGCTTCTTTGGCATAACTCAGCCCTGCTAAACAGAGAAGGGCGCTTTGAGGTAGTTTGTCAGTTTTTCAGTGCAATGAGAGAGGCGAGTCATTGATCACGTTTACATGCACACCAATATCCCATTATTATTATATTCTAATTATTATTCTCAAGTATTCTGTTTGAGTCGACGCATATAAACATCATATCCCGTTTAAAATAACCCAAATAAGCTTGTGATATGCAGTATCCGCCTGGGATATGCGGATACTGCGGCATGTAAACATCTTATCCAGTTTACCGTTGTTTTTCGCAGTCTGCGCAGGCTCAGTTTCGCGTAGTACCACCTTTGAAGTTCAGATGGAAACAGTAATAGTTGGAATAGTAACTGAAGTCTGGACACTGACTGTATGCTTATTATAATATTCTGCAGAATTAATTGCTTCTTGCAGTATAATTATAGACCAAATGTTAATTTGGTCTCGGGAACAGAAGTGGAGAAATATGATTTCCTTGTTTCATCTTCAGAAAATGCAAATGCACGCTTACGGACCGTGTTGTGTAGGCCAAACAAATGTTAGCGTCATAAAAGCTGACATTATTTGACTTTCAACCACAAAGTATGCATCGAAGACTAACTGAAATACTATCAGAAACATGCTGGATAGTTTTCACAGCTTTTCATTGCCTTAAAACTGGTCAACAAACTGATGTCATTTGGACATTTTTGCACAGAAAATCTCCCGGTACCTAAAGGTCTTCGCTCTGCGAGATAAAAACTTTACCGATGTCAACTAGATTGTTGATGCATTCATTCTATTGATTTATGACATCATTCTGGTGAGCAAGGCTTTATTTAGTATTTTAGAGCATCAGGTAATGACAGAAGAGAAGCTGCATGTTTCTAATTAGACGACATGGAACTCTTCCACATCAAGTAACTCAAGCTAGCAGTAAAATCAGATTTAAAAACACTGATAAAAACACCTCACGGCACAACGCGGACTGTGAAGAGGCACACAGACACACATTGTAATATTGTACATTTGTAGTGACAGAGTAGTGATGTAATAACTTATTGTATAATGCATTGTTTTGTTTATGATGTAGGCCAGGATTGTCAAACTAATTTTGCCCAGGGGGCCCGCATTCGACGAGGTCGAATTTGTTATATTTCCTCTCCGTCAAAACATTTTTATTTTTTTTTGTTCCCCCCTCCCCCCTGACACTAGCTTTCATTTAGATGATTATTAGCAAGCTGGACAACAAAACCAAAAAACTGTATGAATGAGGTCAACTATCATTTCTACACAGTTTCGGTTTGGTTTTAGTCATTTTAAAGTATATCGATGTTGTTTTTACTCAAAACTACCCACGGGCTGGATTGAACCCCTGCACGGGTCGTATGTTTGACACCCCTGATGTAGGCGGTTACCTTTTGTTATTATAATCCTGTGTGGACACCAGGAAGAGTAGCTGCTGTAAAGAGTATGTGCATGTTAACGCCTGATCCTGAATAAGACCTTAACCTGGAAACGAGCCATTATCTGGAATACTGTGTGCATGTAAACGTGGTCATTGTCGTGTATTTGCTGCTTGCTCTCTGGAAGGGTTCTCCTGGGTAATACCCAGTCTGTTGAGATGTTCTAATCCTCTCCACCCCTTACTCAACCTCTCACATGCACGTACAAACACAAACAAAAATCAAAAAAATGCAGAGCAACACTATGCGACCGAACAGGCTTTCCATGTCTACATTTTTGAGAAAGTGTAATGAGATTCAAGAGATATGCAATGTTATGGTTTTCAGTCAACTGAACTTGAGAACTTCTGGACCTTATTTTCTAGATCTTCTATCTGATCTGTACCTTCTCCATCTCATTGCTCTTTCTCTTCCTGGCTGAGCGGGTGATTTTGACGGTCACAGACTTGTCCTCTCCCTGCCTCCGGATGTTCAGCTTGTTGGGTTGCAGAGGGCTGAATTGGATCTCCAGCTCTGGTTTGGGGAAGCGACGCTCTCGCCTGCCGTCTGTGGACACCTCAGAGGAGTCCAGTACCTGCCCAGACAGACAGGCCAACATTTTACACACAGGCAAAAACACACACAGACCACAAAACAGAAAATATGAATGTTCTTTTTACACCCGTATTGGGATGAGTCCAGGGCCTAAAATTAACATCCGCCAAATGCTGGTAGATTTTGAAATGATCAGGTAAGATGTCTATTTCACCAGCCACGTTGGTGGGTGGTCAGGGCTCCACATCGCGAGCATTTCACTCGCATTTGTGAATAAAAAGTCAAGTATTTCATAGCAAAGTTAATGTTGCAGTAGCTGTTTTCAAAGTATTTCTGCCTCGCGCTGCAACACTGCCTGGCTGGGGGCTGTGCTTACCCACGTGAAGCGCTGAGTGACAGACTCATTTTTAGAAGCGCTGTGCACAGGCATAAAAATGTGTTTAATTTACTTGAATGTCTACTGAAGTGAGACTTTGTCCTTGTGTTTTTTGGCTATTTACGTTGTTTTGTTCACAAGCTAGGTTGTTTTTCAATGTTTGAGTTTCAACTGCTAGCGAAGAGAAGCAATGCAGATAGCCTACTACTCACAGACACAAACATGCCTGGAGTCGCATTACCACGGTAACCTCTGGCCCTTAAAGGGGCAGGCAAACATTTGTCTTTGGTTAAAAGACTCAGGTCACAAAAAATGTAATTAAACAATATACCACATTCCTTCTTACTTTATACATTTATTGTTTTAGAAACATTACAAAGCAAGGTCATCCTTTTTGTGTTTTGTTGGTGTAATGTTAGCAGGGAAAAATATTTTGACTGGTAAAAAATATGAGTGGCTGGTAGATTTTAAAATCTACTTGCCAGAGTGACTGGTGGACCAAAAAGTAAAATGTAGGCCCTGGATGAGTCTATCCCCGATGTTGTGGCTGAAAAATGACAAGAAAAATTAAGGAAACAGTCAACCACTCAGAATTGGAAGCAGCTCAATGATTCTCTGATCTATACTGACCTCTTGTGTTTGGAAGTTGGAGTGCTCGTTGATCTCCCCGAGCTTGCGCTCTCTGTCTGCTTTCCTCTCCTGGAGTTTCTGCATCTCTAATTTGAGGGCCTCAACCAGAGAGCCACTCTCCTCCGTGCTCTCTTCTTTCTCAGAGGGCTGCTTTGGCAAGGTCTCCTGAAAACAGACACAGCCGACAGTCCTTATGGTGAGACAGACTGTCAATTGCGCCTGTCTGAAGTGCACCCGCTTTCCCTGCAACTACATAGCAATTAGTTGAAAAATGTGATAAGACATATGCTGGTAATATTCTGTTAAAGAGTTATCTACACTATATCAGATGGATCAAAGATAATGCGACTAGAATTTAAGTTATGAGGTAAAACGTTTCCAATGTTCCACTAAATAATGGACTACGTCACAGAAACTCCAAAATGCTATTTCTGTGACCTTATTCTGCACTCATTTCATCAAAGCAAGTTCCCGCTGCACATTCACTGCCTACGTACTCGGACACTCCGTTAAGTACTGCCTTTGACCCAGAGACGCCATTACAAGCCCAGCAGTTCGATTGTGTTTATTTTTCAGAGTCATAATGATCCCATTTACCTCTTCAGTCCGCGGCTGGCTACAACTGAGCTCTTCTGAACACCCTCTCATCAACTCCAGGGCCAGGCACGGGCTCTTCTCCTCCTCTGGCCCATTGGCTACCTCCGTCAGAATAGCCCTCTCTTCAAGCCACCTCTCTGACTCATACTGTTCATTAGGCAGCTAGGAGGACATCAAAAGGAATGGTTACTTTACTCACCACGTACTCCGTCCCGTTTCAGACAGAACCGGAAATGGCTGGAGTTTCAGGGGGGGGACGTCGAGTAGTGATCAAACGACGGCTCTTACCTTCAAGCGCTCTTCGGTCCGCTGACATTCCCACTTCACGTTCTCGCACTCGCCGGGACAGTCGTTGAGGACATGAGAGGACTTGGCACCGTTTGTGTTTTTCTGTAGGCAGCCGTCCTTCAAACTCGTCAGCTCTTAAATCCAAAATGGAGATATTACTGCCAAATCCATTTATGTCTCTGAATGAAGACACAAGCTTAAATCAATGACAAAAAATGTTTTATACAAAGTGTGTGTGACCACTCACCTTCACTTAAAGCCTCAATCTCTTTCACCTTGGCTTCCAGAATCCGCTCTTGTTCAGTCTGTGTCCTCTCCTGCTCTGTCAGTGCAAGACGCATGTCTTCAATCACCTTTTCCTTAGACTTTCTGTGACTCTCCTCCTCCTCCAGTTTCCGTTGAGCTTCCTCTAGTCTCTCTTGCAGAGCTCCGCACTGGGCCTCCCTCTCAGCCAGCTGCTTCTCCAACGCCGCAACCCTCTCAGAGCTGCCTCCAGAGGCCTGAACCTGCACCTCCAGGTCCAGGATCTGCTCCTTCTGGTGGCCTGCCAATTTTTTGAGGTCGGCATTACTCTTCATAATTTCGTTGTAAGTCCCTTTCTCTAATTCGTAGGCCTGTAGATTGAATTGGGCCTCGGACCGCTGTGTCTCTAGCTCATGTCTCAGCTGGCTACAGAGTTCCTCCTGTCCAGAGAGCTGCTCTCTGACCTGGTTGAGCTCCTGCTCCAGGTCAGCTATCCGCTGGCTCTTCTGGACCGACTTCTCCACCACACTCTCACACTCCCTCTTCATGGCATCTATGGTGTCATGGAACTTGGAGTTGTTCCTCTGTGCAGAAGAGACCTTCAGTTCCTCTGCTTCCTTCCGGAGCCGTTCAGTTTCCAAAGTCAAGGATTCAATGGTTTGGGATTTTCCGTTGGATTCGTCTTTAAGACCCTTCAGGAGTGCTCTGGCTGCTTCTAGCTCCTCTGAAACCTTGGCGGACCTCTCAGTCTGCTCGGTAAGTTCTGTTTGGAGAGTTTTCACAGAAGACTCCACTTTCTGTGATGTCTGCTGGAGCAGGAAGATGCCGTTGACCAGTGCTTTGTTGTCTTTGGAGAGCCTGGCGGTCTCTTTCCTCTCTTGCTCCAGCGAGGCAATCACAGCTTCACAGTCATCAGTCTGCTCCTCCAGATCGTCGCTGAGCTTCTGGACGGTCTGTTCAAATGATACCCTCTCACGTTTGAGCTCTTCGGCATATTCACTCTTTCTTTTTATCTCTCCTTTGACCGTCTCCAACTTCTGAACCGTCGCCTTGTTTTCTTCTTTTAACTGCAAAATTGTCATGTCTTTTTGACGACATTCCGCCTGGAGTTTCTCCAACTCGTTTGCTAGAATGAGACGCTCGTCCTCAAGACTCCCTGGAGAGAGTAAAGGAGAAGGTCAGACAGATACAGAACTCTAAAAGTAAAATGGAAACATAAGGACCATTAGCCCGATAAAAGATGCAACCCTTTTCATATTTTTTGAGGACTACCTTTCTTCAGGGAAGGCTGATCATCAAGGTCTTCCAGGACATCTGCATGACGTTTTCTGCCCTCCTCAGAACTGGGACTGTCCCGGCTCATACACTTACAATTCTGTTTCAAGCTCAGGATCTCCTCCTTGATGGAGTCAACCAAGGCCCTCTGTTGACAAAAACAGTGAAAGGGAATGCATATTATCCTATACAGAGGTTCTGTGATGGATCATCCTACATACACTAGGACTGATAACAAAGCGACCCCAGATATGCCATTAATGTAGGTGCAAGTATTTCAAGTTCAAGTCATTTACTTACATCCCTAGTTGAAGCCTCACTATTCTGGTCCATTGCTTCCTGCAGCTTGGTTATCACGTCATCTTTCTCATGGCAGATTTCCATTAAGGCCTCAAACTTCTGTGTCTGAGATTCCAAATTCTGCATGCATTCAAAATATGGAAACCCATAAACTCTAACCAAACCTTTCATTTCGTGTTCATATGCAACAAAATACATCCGATATCAATAGCCAAGCTTACCTCCTTCGCTTCCTCTAGCTGCCCGCACAATGGTTTCATTTCAATGCTCATTTCTGTAAACAGAAGGAAAAACACACTTGAGCTAAATCCAAAATATTCATCATGATCAAAATCACAGCAAGTGAGACATACTATACATACCATTGGTTTTGAGGTTGAGTTGCTGCTGGGTCTTGAGGAGCTCCTCTGATAAGTCGTCCACTTGCTTCCTCAGGCTGGTCATAGTGCCAGGAGACTCAGGCAGGTCCACCAGACAGGTCTGTGCAGCCTCCGCGTCCCTTCTGATTTTAGCCAGGTCGTCTCGCATAGCGTCAACGATCCCCTCCAAGAGCACTACCTTATCCTCCTGCGGTGGAAAACAAAGATATCAGCACTAAACTCATCATGCTATTCAAACAAGCACAGGTAAGGATGTTAGTGGTGAAGTTGTATTCTCTGCCTGATCTGATATTATGACCTGTGATCTGAATAAGACTGTTACCTTTGTCGTTTCGTTGTCACCAGTGACTCTTGCACGCTCGCCGACACTCTTGCCCACTAAATTCTTCAGGATTTCCAACCTCTTGTCCACTCTGTCCTCAGTGATCTCCCTCTCTTTGGCAAGACGCTCCCTGCAAGACAAAAACATTGTTCGGTCAATGCATCTCCAGACAACGGCTAAGATTGACAGCGCGACTTTAAAAGAGAGAGGGAAATGCATCGACTACTTACTTGTAATCACTTTCCATTTTGGAGAATAGCTCCATGAACTCGATGGTGACCTCTTCACGGATGTGAGACTCCAAAGCCAATTTCTCAGCTTCCTCCTTCAGAAGCTTCTCATTGCGTTCCTCCACCAGAGCAAGCTGGCCCTTAAAATACCCAACAAAATCCATCTTTAACATTTAGTGAAAATTAACCAGTATATCAACATCTTGAATATGGACAAAACCTACATTGTCGAAGTCCTCGTCAAGTGCCGTCTTGTCCTCTTCTCCCGCCTCCAGAATGGTTTCCTCTGCCATGCCCTCATCACAACTTTCCTCTTCCTCGTCATCCTCATCTTCCTGCACATCCTCCAGAGTGGTTTCCCAAGCCACCATGGAGCTCTTCCTCCTACTCCACAGGTCTTTGCAGTCAGCATTGTTGATGATGAGGGACACCTCTCTGGCAGATATCTTTGGGGCAATGGCAAGGACTGGTTTGGTGTTGAGGACCACCACCTGAGAAATAAGATAAATTAGCATTTTTCCCGCTTACACTACCGGTCAAAAGTTTTAGAACACCTACTCATTCAATGGTTTTTCTTTATTTTTCCTATTTTGTACATTGTAGAATAATAGTGAAGACATTAAAACTATGAAATAACACATATGGAATCATGTAGTAACCAAAAAAGTGTTAAACAAATCAAAATCTATTTTATATTTGAGATTCTTCAAATAGCCACCCTTTGCCTTGATGACAGCTTTGCACACTCTTGGCATTCTCTCAACCAGCTTCATGAGGTAGTCACCTGGAATGCATTTCAATTAACAGGTGTGCCTTCTTAAAAGTTAATTTGTGGAATTTCTTTCCTTCTTAATGCGTTTGAGCCAATCAGTTGTGTTGTGAGAAGGTGGGGGGGGTATACAGAAGATAGCCTTATTTGGTAAAAGACCAAGTCCATATTATGGCAAGAACAGCTCAAATAAGCAAAGAGAAACGACAGTCCATCATTACTTTAAGACATGAAGGTCAGTCAATATGGAACATTTCAAGAACTTTGAAAGTTTCTTCAAGTGCAGTCGCAAAAACCATCAAGCGCTATGATGAAACTGGCTCTCATGAGGACCGCCACAGGAATGGAAGACCCAGAGTTACCTCTGCTGCAGAGGATAAGTTCATTAGTTACCAGCCTCAGAAATTGTAGCCCAAATAAATGCTTCACAGAGTTCAAGTAACAAACACATCTCAACATCAACTGTTCAGAGGAGACTGTGTGAATTAGGCCTTCATGGTCGAATTGCGGTGTGGGTGAACGGATGCTCTCCGTTCACACCGTAAAGCATGAAGGAGGTGTTATGGTGTGGGGGTGCTTTGCTGGTGACACTGTCTGTGATTTATTTAGAATTCAAGGCACACTTAACCAGCATGGCTACCACAGCGATACACCATCCCATCTGGTTTGGGCTTAGTGGGACTATCATTTGTTTTTCAACAGGACAATGACCCAACACACCTCCAGGCTATGTAAGGGCTATTTGACCAAAAAGGAGAGTGATGGAGTGCTTGCATCAGATGACCTGGCCTCCACAATCCCCTGACCTCAACCAAATTGAGATGGTTTGGAATGAGTTGGACCACATAGTGAAGGAAAAGCAGCCAACAAGTGCTCAGCATATGTGGTAACTCCTTCAAGACTGTTGGAAAAGCATTCCAGGTGAAGCTGGTTGAGAGAATGGCAAGAGTGTGCAAAGCTGTCATCAAGGCAAAGGGTGGCTATTTGAAGAATCTCAATTATAAAATATATTTTGATTTGTTTAAAAATTTTTTGGTTACTACATGATTCCATATGTGTTATTTCATAGTTTTGATATCTTCACTATTATTCTACAATGTAGAAAATAGTACAAATAAAGAAAAACCCTTGAATGAGTAGTTGTTCTAAAACTTTTGACCGGTAGTGTATATTACCAACCACAAGCTTACGCTTCCTTATAAAGCTCCACTGACTGACCTTTTGGGCGACGGCGGAGAACTTGAGGACGTTGAGCGTCTCGTCATACATGGAGGCGCATTGGTTGATGTTGACGATCATGCAGGCTTTCCCTCTACCAGAAAAAAACCCCTGGAGGTAGTGTGTGAGCTTGCTCTCTCTGAAGGGCACATGTTGTCGGAACCTGGAAGATATGTACATAAAAGGAGCATTATATTGGTTTATTAGAAACAAACATGTGCAGTCAGTGTGCGTGTAAAAGCATACATCTGTATACAGGTCAAATACTCACTTGGCTTGTTGGTTGAGCCTCAGAGCGTTGATGCATTTGCCCAGAATCAGCAATGAGGTGTTGATGTTGCCAGCCTCTTTTAACTGCACTCCTTTATTCTGAGTCCTTCCAGATCTCTCCGATCCAGCCAGATCACACAACGACAATCTTAGACATAACACACAACCATGAATAAAAACAGGACAATCTGGAGAAGAGCAATAAAAAATAAAATAAAACACAGAATAACTTGAGTCACTTACTCGCTAATTGTGTGGACTCTGGGTACACCAACATCTTCAATACGCAAGATCCGAACTGAGAATATGCTATGGCTTCTGCTGGAGACGTTGTTGAGCTTCGTGCAGGAGAAACTCTGGTTCTTCTTTCCGATCTTCATAACTTTGTACGCCTCCTCGGAATTGTTTACTTGAACCCACTTTAGAGCTACAAGGGGAACCATGTGTACGTTCTGTATGAACTGAAATCTCATAGCATCTAGACCAGGGCTGCCCAACCCTCTTCCTGGAGATCTACCGTCCTGTGGGTTCAGTCCAACCCTACTTTAACACACCTGATTCTACTTATTAGCTGCTCAACAGGACCTTAACTAGCTGAATCAAATATGCTACATTTGGGATGGACTGAAAACCTACAGGACAGTAGATCTCCAGGAAGAGGGTTGGGAAGCCCTGATCTTGACTAATACATCACATATTCAATCAAAGTGACATTACCTTTCACAAAGGTGTTGCCTTTGATGTCCTGTGACAGCCGAAGGACGGTTCGCCTATGTGACCCATTAGGAATGGGCTCCAGTAGGTCGTGGATGTTCTCATTGTAGATTTCACAGAAGGACACCCACACTGAGTATTTAGTGTGGGAGTCCACGTCCAGGCAGAAACTGTCTCCTTCCCCCTGATCACTGATGTCGCTTAAGGAGGAACCTGTCAATCAGACAACAAATCATACATTGATTTAACAACAGTGTAACAATGAAGATGTTTATTTGGTGTCAAATACAGTATCAAGAAATGTTCAAAAATACATAGCTGCTGTACTTAACATACTCAAAGCCTGAAACAAGTTTCTTACCCTCCAGTATTGTTGACCTGCATGTGGAGCTCATCGTACTTTTCAGAAAACCACTCTGAAGAGAGAAAAAAAAGAGAGAAGACTCATTTACATTTCAGAGAGAAAGCAAAGGGGGGGCATTGTGCTTGAGGTTTTACTGCTAAAACTCACCTCCTTTGACAGTCTCATGAGGTTTAGCTTATTTGTAGTCTCTTCATCCTGCTGGTCCTTTGTGAGCCTGGTGAAGTCTCTGCATCGATGTGGTTTGACGTTGTTCTGTGTGTAGACTCTGCCCTCGATGCTGTTGAAGATCACGTTCAAAGACCTTGGCAGAATTCCACCATCACTCTCAGGGCCTGGAAGTATAAATAGATTACGAGTTAAAGAGGGACAATGCCAAAAGTGTTTTGTGGTGAGCGTTGGGTATGAAACAGAGAGAGGTCAAAGGGCACATTTCAAAATGTCTGCATAGAAAACCCTAGAAAACGATTTATGAACACTGACTTTATAACCCAATGTTATAACTTCAATTGTTAAATGCAAATTGGAAACATGCAAAACAAATCTATAGATTCTGACCGAGGAATGTGAACGTCTTCCCAGCGTTGGTGACTCCATATGTGAAGACAATAGAATTCCCTCCTTCTAGAACATCTCTTACCAGACGTTTCACTGTGCCATCAAACATCTGCCTCTGTGTAGTGTCAGGGCCATACACCTGGCGAGGGAGGGGGTTAACGGTTAAGAAAAAATGTCCACACTCATTTCTTAGAAAAAGTACATCTTTACAAATAGCTACTAATCAAACAGCCAGAGAATGCCTTACCTGGGTGAACTGAAATCGTTGGGCTGTCTGAGTGACTGGTTTGTCACCGTCTGAGTGACTGGTTTGTCGTCTGGTTGATAAAGAGGTCCTAGGTGCCCTGAGTAAAACGGTGTCTGGTGGCTCCATGGAGACACATTCCTGGATTCAAACGGAGGAAAAGTAGTATGTACCACAGCATTCGGATCAATCATAATGCTCCTCGTTTTAGTGTACTGAATGTGTGTCATGGGAAAATACCTGAGATTCACCACTTTCATTCTCTGCTGTGGTAAACGGACGTATCCTGAGGTAGACACGCAAATGCTCTTTCTCAAATAATACAGAATCCTGTAGGGAGATAAGTAGACAGCATTTTACTGGGATTTAGTTAAAAGATGATGCTATGAAACCAATTACTAAATCTAGCTATATAGCGTATATCTAATAACATCTAATAACAAAAAAAGGACCCTAGTTAACTTGTCACATCAAGAAACATATCAGAACAGAAACAAACCCGTGGCAGAGCAGATGGAATTGCACAAAAATCTGCAAACAAGTTCTTTCTCAAATCGTCAACCACAATCGGTCCCACTCTCTCTGGTTTCTTGTCCAAACACGTATCCATCACTCTAAAAGACAGACATTTCACATTGTTTATGATGCCCTTTACTCTTTAGATACAATAAGATAGCTAAAGGCTAGGCTATCTAACGGCAACGCTAGCTAACTAACGTTGCGTTGCTGGAAAGAGAGACGACAAAACGCGTTAGCTTAGACAGAATCAAAAGGTTATGCATCTATCTTTTGTAGCTATACTTATAAAAACGTTGAAATACTATAATAACTCACGTTTTGTGTATTTTTATTCACACAAACATTGATCTACAGTCCTCTCCATTCACTTCCAAACAACCTGGCCCCGGTCTAATTTTCAAACTGGACCAATCAGACAGCATGAGAGGCGGTGACCCTAGCCTCTCGAAAAGATGGCGGATTGTGAATCCTAATGGCGGTAGAATCAAGGAGGGTTGGAGTATTGTTCAAAAGAATGGAAAAGGGAGCAAAGTGGGGTAGAGTGCGGAGAATGTCCCTTTATATCTTATAGGAGTAAGGTAATGAGGAGCAGTTTATCGAAATACCAATCTTGAAGAATCCATTTGAGCTATCCAAACTGGTGGAGCGAGTGATGGGTAAAGTGAAGGGTGTGAGGATCACGAGAGGCGGGTTTGTTTAGATGTTTTGTACATCTGCGATCAGAAGGAACGTGTGTTGCGGCTCTCCCGATTTGATAAAAGTTTGAGGTGTCGTTTGTGTCTCTTCGGAACAGGGCACCCATCAAGGGGGTAATATTTTGGCGTCTCGTGGGAAGTCGATGTTAAAGAGATGAAAAATATTCCTGGAGTGATTGATATGAAGTCTCTCCCTACTCAAGTGCAGTTAGGGTATATAAACTACAAAGTCAGAGCATTTATCCCACTGTAAAGCTTTTGGTCATGTGTCAAGGGTTTGCAGAAGGGAGAAACCGAGATGTCCAAGTTGTGGAAAATATAATTTAATGTGTTTATAAAAGTGATGAAAAAGTGAAATGTTGCAATTGTGGTGGGAACAATGAAGCCACATATTTTGAATGCCCGACAAGGGTGAAAGAAAATTAGGTGGCCAAAGTTAGGGTTGTACAGAGCATTTCCTATGCAGCAGCGGTTAAAAGGGTTGAGGGTTTGAATGGTGCTCCTGAAGAGTCCATGGTGGTGGATAGACCTATTAGCTACACAACCGATAAGAAACGACTTCAGAGTGTTATTGCAACAGCAGCGCACCGTAACTGTTTGATCTTTTTCACATTTGCAAAACTGTTAAGCTAACACTAACTTCAGATTCGCTGAATCGTTTTAGCTAACGTCTACGCGTTAGTTCATCGCTTGAGGCAACGCGCAATATGTCGTCGCACTATGGACCAGAACTAGCTGAAAGATGTCTTGATTGATTTGCTAATCAAGTACTGTAATGTTTTCATGTTTCAGTTGGATACTCCACAGTTGCCATCAATTATGTGGTTGATTTGCAGAAAAAGAAACAGGTAGGCTGCTCGGTGTTCCCTGTTTATAACTCACCAAGTCAAGAGAGCTGTCCTCACCTTTGTTAACATTTGTTTGCTTATGTTTACAGGGAATTGGCAAACCAAAATGTGTCTCAGAGCTGTTTTGATACATTTTCCAAAGTGCAGGTAGTGTGGCGTAAAAGTAATGTTGACATATAATGAAATACTTTTTCATGATGCTAGCTATCCTATATATGTCCGCTTTCTTTTGCACAGGGTAAATCCAGAACAATCAAGGTTTTAAACCGACTGACAGTTGTGGCCTCAGACCATCACACTTTGTGTCCAATGTACAAAACATTAGGAACACCTTTAATATTGAGTTTACCCCTTTTGCCCATAGAACAGCCTCAATTCGTCGGACCATGGAAAGCGTTACACAGAGATGCTGGCCAATGTTGACTCCAATGTTTCCCACTGTTGTGTCAAATTGTCTGGATTTGGGTGGTGGACCATTATTGATACACACGGGAAACAGTTGAGTGTGAAAAACCCAGAAGCATTGCAATTCTTGACACCGGTGTGCCTGGCACCTACTACCATACCCTGTTCAAAGGCACTTCAATATTTTGTCTTGCCCATTCACCCTCTGAATGGCACACATACACAATCCATGTCTCAATTGTGTCAAGGCTTAAAAATCCTTCTTTAACCTGTCTCCTTCCCTTCATCTACACTGATTGAAGTGGATTGAACAGGTGACATCAAAAAGGGATCATAGCTTTCACCTGGTCAGTCTGTCATGGAAAGAGCTGGTGTTCCTAATGTTTAGTACACTCCGTGTGCAGTAGCCGTTTGAACATTTGCTGACAGTTTTCATATTGCATGATTTTTCAAATAACATCTGTCCCTTCCCAGAGACCAACTGCAGAGTGCAAAGCCTATGACTTAGTGGCTGTCTATCCTAAAACAGAGAAGTTGTTTCATGTAGGTACATTTGTTCAGCATCATCCACTACTGACTATGTATGTTAGGATGACCTTCTGCTCATTTAGGTCTTCTACTTGTTTCAATAGGCAGCTTGCATGACATTTGATGTTGATATCATCTGTGTGGCAGTGACAGAAAAATAACCCTCCTTTTTCAAAAGAGCTCCAGTAAATGGGGTAAGTATGTATACAGTGCCTCGCAAAAGTATTCACGGGTTTCATTTTTTTTGTCAACAATCTCCAACAATATCCTTCAGTCAAGTGTTGAATTTCAAGCTACAAAGACCAGGGAGCTTTTCGAAAGCCTCATAAAGAAGGGTCCTAAAGTAATACTGCAAAAAAAACAGCAAAGGAATACACTTTTTGGCCTGAATGCAAAGCCTTATGTTTGGGGCAAATCCAACACATCACTGAGTAACTGCCTCCTTATTTTCAAGCATGGTGGTGGCTGCATCATGGTATGGGTATGCTTGACATCTATTGGGGAGTTTTTCAGGATGAAAATAAACTGGGTGGCGCTAAGCAGGCAAAATCTTAGAGGAAAACCTGCTTCACTCTGCTTTAAACCAGAGACTGGGAGAGGAATTCACCTTTCGCCAGGCATTACTGGAACCATGTCGTCCAAAAAGTTATACTTTTGAATCCTCTGTCCATAGAACGTTCTTCCAAGAGTCTTGATGATCATCCATGTGCTTTTTGGCAAACTTTAGTCAACTTTTTGGAAGAGATGGGTCCCATTATGCCTGGCGTAAACCAAATGCTGCATTCCACAGTAAGAACATCATACCAAAGGTCAAGCATGGTGGTGATGGTTTGGGGATGCTTTGCTGCCTCAGGACCTGGACGACTTGCCTTAATAGAAGAAACCATGAATTCTGCTCTGTATCAGAGAATTATACAGGAGAATTTCATACCATCCGTCTGTGAGCTGAAGCTGAAGCGCAGCTGGGTCATGCAGCAAGACAATGATCCAAAACACACAATCAAGTCTACATGAAAATGGCTAAAAAGCAACAAGTTGGAAGTTTTTGAATGGCCTAGTCAAAGTCCAGACCTAATCACAATTGAAATGTTGTGGCAGGACTTGAAACGAGCAGTTCATGCTTGAAAACCCACACGTCACTGAGTTAAAGCAGTTCTGCATGGAAGAGTGGGCCAAAATTCCTCCATAGCGACGTGAGAGACTGATCAACAACTACAGGAGGCATTTGGTTGGAGTCATTGCAGCTAAAGGTGGCACAACCCAGTTATTGAGTGTACATGTAAAATGTAAGGGGGCAATTACTTTTTCACACAGGGGAATTGGGAGTTGCATAACTTTGTTTATTAAATAAATATGTAATTGTTGTGTTATTTGTTCACTTATGTTCCCTTTATCTAATATTAGGTTTTGGTTGAAGATCTGATAACATTCAGTATCACAAATATGCAAAAGTAGAGAAAATTAGAAAGGGGGCAAATACTTTTTCATAGCATTGTGTGTGTATATATATATATATATATATATATATACAGTGGGGAAAAAAGTATTTAGTCAGCCACCAATTGTGCAAGTTCTCCCACTTAAAAAGATGAGAGGCCTGTAATTTTCATCATAGGTACACGTCAACTATGACAGACAAAATGAGAAAAAAAAATCCAGAAAATCACATTGTAGGATTTTTTATGAATTTATTTGCAAATTATGGTGGAAAATAAGTATTTGGTCACCTACAAACAAGCAAGATTTCTGGCTCTCACAGACCTGTAACTTCTTCTTTAAGAGGCTTCTCTGTCCTCCACTCGTTACCTGTATTAATGGCACCTGTTTGAACTTGTTATCAGTATAAAAGACACCTGTCCACAACCTCAAACAGTCACACTCCAAACTCCACTATGGCCAAGACCAAAGAGCTGTCAAAGGACACCAGAAACTAAATTGTAGACCTGCACCAGGCTGGGAAGACTGAATCTGCAATAGGTAAGCAGCTTGGTTTGAAGAAATGAACTGTGGGAGCAATTATTAGGAAATGGAAGACATACAAGACCACTGATAACTCCCTCGATCTGGATCTCACCCCCAGTGGGGTCAAAATGATCACAAGAACGGTGAGCAAAAATCCCAGAACCACACGGGGGGACCTAGTGAATGACCTGCAGAGAGCTGGGACCAAAGTATCAAACTTCTGGTAGGCTAACACACTACGCCGCCAGGGACTCAAATCCTGCAGTGCCAGACGTGTCCCCCTGCTTAAGCCAGTACATGTCCAGGCCCGTCTGAAGTTTGCTAGAGTGCATTTGGATGATCCAGAAGAGGATTGGGAGAATGTCATATGGTCAGATGAAACCAAAATATAACTTTTTGGTAAAAACTCAACTCGTCGTGTTTGGAGGACAAAGAATGCTGAGTTGCATCCAAAGAACACCATACCTACTGTGAAGCATGGGGGTGGAAACATCATGCTTTGGGGCTGTTTTTCTGCAAAGGGACCAGGACGACTGATCCGTGTAAAGGAAAGAATGAATGGGGCCATGGTCCTCTGTAGCTCAGCTGGTAGAGCACGGCGCTTGTAACGCCAAGGTAGTGGGTTCGATCCCCGGGACCACCCATACACAAAAATGTATGCACGCATGACTGTAAGTCGCTTTGGATAAAAGCGTCTGCTAAATGGCATATTATTATTATTATTATTATTATTATTATATTATTATATCGTGAGATTTTGAGTGAAAACCTCCTTCCATCAGCAAGGGCACTGAAGATGAAACGTGGCTGGGTCTTTCAGCATGACAATGATCCCAAACACACCGCCCGGGAAACGAAGGAGTGGCTTTGTAAGAAGCATTTCAAGGTCCTGGAGTGGCCTAGCCAGTCTCCAGATCTCAACCCCATAGAAAATCTTTGGAGGGAGTTGAAAGTCTGTGTTGCCCAGCGACAGCCCCAAAACATCACTGCTCTAGAGGAGATCTGCATGGAGGAATGGGCCAAAATACCAGCAACAGTGTGTGAAAACCTTGTGAAGACTTACAGAAAACGTTTGACCTGTGTCATTGCCAACAAGGGTATATAACAAAGTATTGAGAAACTTTTGTTATTGACCAAATACTTATTTTCCACCATAATTTGCAAATAAATTCATAAAAAATCCTACAATGTGATTTCTGGATTTTTTTTTCTCATTTTGTCTGTCATAGTTGACGTGTACCTATGATGAAAATTACATGCCTCTCTCATCTTTTTAAGTGGGAGAACTTGCACAATTGGTGGCTGACTAAATACTTTTTTTCCCCACTGTATATATAGTAAAAGTGATGTAACTTGTGCTTGTGTCAGGCAATTGAAAGAGGTGTGTTCTTTGAGATAAGTTACACACCATTGCAAATTCCATCAGTCTCATGGAGACGTGCAAAGGAAAGGTAAACACATACACCCATCGGTGTTCACCTGTTAATCCACCTGCCATTTTCAAACAGTGCATGTAACCGCAATGTTTTCTTTCAAATAGAATGCGATTGTGACCAGTAGAAATGAGGTGTTGTCTTACCCTCTTAGATGAGGTGTTGTCTTAACCTCTTAGATGAGGTGTTGTCTTACCGTCTTAGATGAGGTGTTGTCTTACCCTCTTCGATACCAATCATATGAACATTGAGCATGTTAACATCTTCCTGAAAGGAACCTTACTAATGTACATTTATTTTGTCTCCTTGTTCAGCCCCTTGAGTTGAGAGGACCCTACGACATTGGCAACTTGTATTCTTACGTTACCTACAGTACTTGATGTAGGCTACTAGAATAGAGTGCAGACTTATGCAGGTGTGATTGGCCAACCTGTGTCACTGCTGTTGTCCTGAATGAAGCCCAGAGGCCTACTTTTTAGCCTGTCGTAAGGAGACTGCAGAGCTGCGAACTCCACCAACCGTCGAGCTGTCCGTTTACATCGAGGTGAATACGCTGCTGTTTATACACATTGGTCGATTAATTGAATAGACAAATGGTGTCTTCGCTTGGTTAAACGGGACAGTGAGTAGCCCATCTATGGAATGTTAATTTTGTGATTTATAATGTAACACTGTCATTTAACTATATGTATTACTTATATATCAGTCTCAAAGCAGTATTTGTGGCACAAGAGAACCAATGAATTGACTGTGTTGTCATTACAGAAACAAGACTGCCTTGGGTATTGTACACACTAGGAAGAAAGACCAGCCGTTGACTGAGAGACGGGAGGATGTTCCAGCATCCGAGGGCTAAGATTGAGACGGCATAGTAGAAAGTAAAATACTTTTGGATGAATAGAGAATGTGTTTATGTAAATGCCCTTTTATGAATATCCTTATTTGTGTTAATGTGACTGTTTTATAATGGTCAGTGGTTATATAGTTTGTCATGGATTAGCAACTATGATGACGCTTGATCCTTTTAGATAAAGCAAACAAATTCGGATAGCAAAGGCAATGCTGTTTATTTCGTAAGTTAATGTAAAATAACAAGCAAAATGTACAGGTAGTAGAAATATTGCAATTACATCAGGAAGTGCATTAACACCACACAAGCGTTTTCAAATCCTGTATTCTCACTGACCAGTTTGAAGCCACAGGCTTGCTGTCTGAGGAACAGTATTGTTTTGTGACTTTTTCTTTTATATTAAAGAGAAATTAAGAATGTATCGATTCAAAGTAATTTCTTTCTAGAACTGAATGCATGCTATAGTCATGCTGATGTCATAAGGCAAGTCACATCTACATTTTCCAAACGTTGAACTTTCTCTTTCCCCCTATAGTTCATTTGTCAACCTTGAGCATTTCAGACTTCCAATAAGCTGCATCTAAAGAAACAAACATCCCTGGGAGCAAATGCAGTTATCTCAAAGTTCCAGCCCAAACCTCTGCTAGTTCACAAGAATTGACTCCGGTCTTAGAAGTCAGCCTAGCCTAAATTAAACCAAAGAGTATCTATTATATTGACAAGATAGTCGCGTGACCGCTCTAAAAATGGAAAGGGCTTATCTCACGTGGACAGATTTTGGGCTGAGTAAATCCTCTCCCTTCGCCTCTTCCCCTCTGATGAAACCTTGGAGGCTGTATATCTTTAATCAACAGATAATCACTTTGACAACCGCTCTCCACAAAGGAACTGGGTTATTTTTCGCTGTTATCTACTCATTCTGAGTGCGTTGAGACCTGTATAAAATGCAATTTAACTGAACTGGACTTTACTTGACTTGACTGGAGTTTTTGCATCATCCTTGAAGTTGCTGAGAATGGATTTAGCCCCACTCTGCCACTCCAGAGTGCTATCCAATGGTGACTTTCCCACCTGTTTTGGAGGAAAACAAAGATGGATTTATCTCAATAGTAGTTAGTGGTATGTTATAGCAATAACTTTTGACTGATGTTTTCCTGTGATTTGATATTGGGTTTATTTCTTCTGATCTCAGATTAAATTTTACTCATTACCACAAGATGGCACTGTGTTTATGGATAAATCCTGTCACCTTTTGCTATCACTAGTTTGATTCTCTGAATACATGTAAGCCTTACGAGCAAAGGTGTTATTTTTTTTCAGTCGTATTTTTCAAACAATATACTACATTATAGATTGAGGTTACAAGTTTGCTGGCAATGTTAGTAAAGTGCTTACACAATTCTTGAGTTTTGGATTGGCTCCATGAAGCAGGAGTAGTTGGATGATTTTGAATCTGTTCAGTCTCACTGCATCGTGCATGGGAGTATCTCCTTCCTGTGTAAAAAATAAATAAACAAAACATAGTTAAAAGACCCATTACATTGGTGTTTCATACTTAGATAAGCAATAAGGCTCGAGGAGCTGTGGTATATGGCCAATATACCACGGCTAAGGGCTGTTCTTAAGCACGATGCAACGCGGAGTGCCTGGATACAGCCCTTAGCCATGGTATATGGCCATATATCACAAACCCCCGAGGTGCCTTATTGCTATTATAAACTGGTTACCAACGTAATTAGAGCAGTAAAAATACATATTTTGTCATACCCGTGGTGTACCACGGCTGTCAGCCAATCAGCATTCAGGGCTCGAACCACCCGGTTTATAACTCTGATTAGATTCTAAGGCATATACAGTACCAGTCAAAAGTTTGGACACACCTACTCATTCAAGGGTTTTTCTTTATTTTTAAATGTTTTACATTGTAGAATAATAGTGAAGACATCATTGGGGCGGCAGGTAGCTTAGTGGTTAAGAGCGTTGTGCCAGTAACTGAAAGGTCGCTGGTTCTAATCCCCGAGCCGACTAGGTGAAAAATCTGTCGATGTGCCCTTGAGCAAGGCACTTAACCCTAATTGCTCATGTAAGTCGCTCTGGATAAGAGCGTCTGCTAAATGACTAAAAATGTAAAAAAATCAAAACTATGAAATAACACGGGAACTACACATGTGGAGATCATCCATTCACCCACACCGTGTCTCACAAAGACATGGCGGTTTGAACCAAAAATCTTGAATTTGGACTCCAGACTATAGGACACATTTCCACCGGTCTAATGTCCATTGCTCATGTTTCTAGGCCCAAGCTGGTCTCTTCTTCTTATAGGTGTCCTTTGTAGTGGTTTCTTTGCAGCAATTCAACCATGAAGGCCTGATTCACACAGTCCCCTCTGAACAACTGATGTTGAGATGTGTCTGTTAATTGAACTCCGTGAAGCATTTATTTGGGCTGGTAACTCTAATGAATTTATCCTCTACAGCAGAGGTAACTCTGGGTCTTCCATTCCTGTGGCGGTTCTCATGAGAGCCAGTTTCATCATAGCGCTTGATGATTTTTGCGACTGCACTTGAAGAAACTTTCAAAGTTCTTGACATTTTCCGTATTGACTGACCTTCATGTCTTAAAGTAATGATGGACTGTCGTTTCTCTTTGCTTATTTGAGCTGTTCTTGCCATAATATGGACTTGGTCTTTTACCAAATAGGGCTATCTTCCCTTACCTTGTCACAACACAACTGATTGGCTCAAACGCATTAAAAAGGAAACAAATTCCACACATTAACTTTTAAGATGGCACACCTGTTAATTGAAATGCATTCCAGGTGACTACCTCATGAAGCTGGTTGAGAGAATGCCAAGAGTGTGCAAAGCTGTCATCAAGGCAAAGGGTGGCTACTTTGATGAATCTCAAATATAAAATATATTTTGATTTGTTTAACACCTCTTTGGTTACTACATGATTTAATATGTTATTTCATAGTTTTGATGTCTTCACTATTATTCTACAATGTAATTTTTTTATAAAAAAATAAAGAAAAACCCTTGAGTAGGTGTGTCCAAACTTTTGACTGGTAGTGTATATCGGAGCAAATTAATTCCTACACTGAATGAGAATAGCGCACCCTATCTTTGGCATTGACGTCCGCTCCACAGTGGATGAGGTGTTCAGCACATTCGTAGTGACCGGTTCTCACTGCAACATGAAGGGGAGTGCTGCGCAGCTAATGGACGAACAAAGAAACATTTATAGATGTAGGATCTTCATTTGATCACCCAGTTTGTAGTGTGTTTGAGGTTTAAAGGCTTCTGAAGTTTGTAATTTCCATTTTTACATTTCAGACTTGATTTTCTCTTACGAAAAATGTATCAACCCCTACAAAAATGTCAATTAATTATAATCCACATTATTTTCCTGTGGTAGCAAACTGGCTCAAATTAAGATCTGTAAGGATAAATCACATTGAACCTAATCTCAGATCCAGGTTTGTCATGAGAGATTATATTGGCCCTGATGCATTTTGTCATATTTGTGTGTGTTCTGACCCACAGTGGCATGCTAGCTTTGTGTTCTGTAGTCTTACCTTATCCCTGGCAGAGAAGCTGCCATCTTGGTTGAGCAGCAGTTCTAACACAGACACGCTTCCTCCTCGGCAGGCAGAGTGGACAGCAGTGGCATCCAGCTAAATGAAGGCAAACAATGGGATTATACATTTAAAGAATCCACCTTGTTTTTCTCTGTTCCTTTCTCTCATCAACACCAACTGACTTTACAGTAAAGGATCAAAGACTGTGCAATATATTGCCAAGAGCTTGCCTCCCGTGGACCTGCAGTTATTTTGAGCTTAAAGTACCTTGTCTTTGTACTCAATTGAAGCTCCAGCCTCCAGTAGCCTCTTCACAACATCCACGTGTCCCTGTGTGCAAGCTCTGTGCAGGCCTGTGCGTCTGAACTGTAAAGGGATAGGAAGGAGGACATTGCATTACAACACACTATACACGATGACACAGCTTAGCTGAGGTGCATTGGCATACTTCAGCTTGGTTGGTGTTGTCTAAAAACGTACATTGTCACAAGCGTTGATATCTCCCGATTTTTCCAGATACCTCTCGATCAATGGCAGTTTGTTCTTCTCGCAGGCCTTGAAGAAATCCTCCTCATTCACATAGTAAGGCTGTAAAGAGAGATGGTGATTCAGCTGTACGTAGCCAGGGGCAGACTGGCCATCTGGCATTTCTGGCAAATGCCAGATGGGATAGTCCATTTTTAGCCCAGTGGGCCTGTCTAACTTGTTATTTTTTTTGCGCATAATTATCATTATTTCGCTAATAATGGGTGCCTCAAGGAAAAAATTGGTCGGTGTTGGGGCCTCAAGGCAAAAAATGGGCCAGTGTGTTAGAAATGCCATGGCCAATTTTTGGTCCCAGTCCACCACTGAACGTAGCAGTTACTTAGTAGTTATCAGTCTTCTTATAAAGGGTCAAATCTTATTGTAAGTTGCCTCTATCCTTAAATCTCAAATTAGATTCTTTATCATCCTAGTCAGCTACTAGGCCTATCTTACCACAGTCTCTGGTGGGGGTGGTGGCTTGCAAACTTGTACTGTTCTCGCTCTCTTTCTCGACTTCCTCAGTTGCAGAATATTCTGGAGGTCATCAATTGTCTCTAACCTCAGATGTCCAGATTTGTCTACCTGCAGAACCAAACATTTCAAGTAGAGAGAAGCCGTCATTGTAAATAAGAATTTGTTCTTAACTGACTTGCCTAGTTTAATAAAGATTAAATAAAAAAATTAATGTTATACATCTTGCACTCCTATAAAGCTGCTTCCCAATTGAGGATGTAATACTTGGTACCATGATCTTTATGATTACACTTTATGTGTTATAGCTACTGTAGCAAATAGCCAAGATTCAAACCGAAAACCTTTTGTTTGTCAATTCAACACATAAACATAAAGTTGAAGTCGGAAGTTTACATACACTTAGGTTGGAGTCATTAAAACTAGTTTTTCAACCACTCCACACATTTCTTGTTAACAAACTATAGTTTTGGCAAGTCGGTTAGGACATTTACTTTGTGCATGACACAAGTAATTTTTCCAACAATTGTTTACAGACAGATTATTTAACTTATAATTCACTGTATCACAATTCCAGTGGGTCAGAAGTTTACATACACTAAGTTGACTGTGCCTTTAAACAGCTTGGAAAATTCCAGAACATTTATGTAATGACTTTAGAAGCTTCTGATAGGCTAATTGACATCATTTGAGTCAATTGGAGGTGTACCTGTGGATGTATTTCAAGGCCTACCTTCAAACTCAGTGACTCTTGCTTGACATCATGGGAAAATAAAAAGAAATCAGCCAAGACCTCAGAAAAAGAATTGTAGACCTCCACAAGTATGGTTCATCCTTGGGAGCATTTCCAAACGCCTGAAGGTACCACGTTCATCTGTACAAACAATAGTATGCAAGTATAAACACTATGGGACCACGCAGCCATCATACCGCTCAGGAAGGAGACGCGTTCTGTCTCCTAGAGATGAACGTACTTTGGTGCGAAAAGTGCAAATCAATCCCAGAACAACAGCAAAGGACTTTGTGAAGTATCTACAGTGGGGAAAAAAAGTATTTAGTCAGCCACCAATTGTGCAAGTTCTCCCACTTAAAAAGATGAGAGAGGCCTGTAATTTTCATCATAGGTACACGTCAACTATGACAGACAAATTGAGAAAAGAAAATCCAGAAAATCACATTGTAGGATTTTTAATGAATTTATTTGCAAATTATGGTGGAAAATAAGTATTTGGTCACCTACAAACAAGCAAGATTTCTGGCTCTCACAGACCTGTAACTTCTTCTTTAAGAGGCTCCTCTGTCCTCCACTCGTTACCTGTATTAATGGCACCTGTTTGAACTTGTTTTCAGTATAAAAGACACCTGTCCACAACCTCAAACAGTCACACTCCAAACTCCACTATGGCCAAGACCAAAGAGCTGTCAAATGACACCAGAAACAAAATTGTAGACCTGCACCAGGCTGGGAAGACTGACTCTGCAATAGGTAAGCAGCTTGGTTTGAAGAAATCAACTGTGGGAGCAATTATTAGGAAATGGAAGACATTCAAGACTACTGATAATCTCCCTCGTTCTGGGGCTCCACGCAAGATCTCACCCCGTGGGGTCAAAATGATCACAAGAACGGTGAGCAAAAATCCCAGAACCACACGGGGGGACCTAGTGAATGACCTGCAGAGAGCTGGGACCAAAGTAACAAAGCCTAACATCAGTAACACACTACGCCGCCAGGGACTCAAATCCTGCAGTGCTAGACGTGTCCCCCTGCTTAAGCCAGTACATGTCCAGGCCCGTCTGAAGTTTGCTAGAGTGCATCCAGAAGAGGATTGGGAGAATGTCATATGGTCAGATGAAACCAAAATATAACTTTTTGGTAAAAACTCAACTCGTCGTGTTTGGAGGACAAAGAATGCTGAGTTGCATCCAAAGAACACCATACCTACTGTGAAGCATGGGAGTGAAAACATCATACTTTGGGGCTGTTTTTCTGCAAAGGGACCAGGATGACTGATCCGTGTAAAGGAAAGAATGAATGGGGCCATGTATCGTGAGATTTTGATTGAAAACCTCCTTCCATCAGCAAGGGCATTGAAGATGAAACGTGGCTGGGTCTTTCAGCATGACAATGATCCCAAACACACCGCCCGGGCAACGAAGGAGTGGCTTCGTAAGAAGCATTTCAAGGTCCTGGAGTCTCCAGATCTCAACCCCATAGAAAATCTTTGGAGGGAGTTGAAAGTCCGTGTTGCCCAGCGACAGCCCCAAAACATCACTGCTCTAGAGGAGATCTGCATGGAGGAATGGGCCAAAATACCAGCAGCAGTGTGTGAAAACCTTGTGAAGACTTACAGAAAACGTTTGACCTGTGTCATTGCCAACAAAGGGTATATAACAAAGTATTGAGAAACTTTTGTTATTGACCAAATACTTATTTTCCACCATAATTTGCAAATAAATTCATAAAAAATCCTACAATGTGATCTTCTGGATTTTTTTTCCTCATTTTGTCTGTCATAGTTGACGTGTACCTATGATGAAAATTACAGGCCTCTCTCATCTTTTTAAGTGGGAGAACTTGCACAATTGGTGGCTGACTAAATACTTTTTTTCCCCACTGTATATCCACAGTAAAACGAGTCCTATATCGATATAACCTGAAAGGCCGCTCAGCAAGGAAGAAGCCACTGCTCCAAAACCGCCATAAAAAAGCCAGACTACGGTTTGCAACTGCACATGGGGACAAAGATCATACTTTTTGGAGAAATGTCCTCTGGTCTGATGAAACAAAAATATAACTATTTGGCCATAATGACCATCGTTATGTTTGGAGGAAAAAGGGGAACGCTTGCAAGCCGAAGAACACCATCCCAACCGTGAAGCACGGGGGTGGCAGCATTATGCTGTGGGGGTGCTTTGCTGCAGGAGGGACTGGTGCACTTCACAAAATAGATGACATCATGAAGAAGGAAAATGATGTGGATATACTGAAGCAACATCTCAAGACATCAGTCAGGAAGTTAAAGCTTGGTCGCAAATGGGTCTTCCAAATGGACAATGACCCCAAGCATACTTCCAAAGTTGTGGCAAAATTGTTTAAGGACAACAAAGTCAAGGTATTGGAGTGGCCATCACAAAGCCCTGACCTCAATCCTATAGAACATTTGTGGGCAGAACTGAAAAAAAGCGTGTGCGAGCAAGGAGGCCTACAAACCAGACTCAGTTACACCAGCTCTGTCAGGAGGAATGGGCCAAAATTCACCCAACTTATTGTGGGAAGCTTGTGGAAGGCTACCCGAAACGTTTGACCCAAGTTAAACAATTTAAAGGCAATGCTACCAAATACTAATTGAGTGTATGTAAACTTCTGACCCACTGGGAATGTGATGAAAGAAATAAAAGCTGAAATAAATCATTCTCTCTACAATTATTCTGACATTTCACATTCTTAAAATAAAGTGGTGATCCTAACTGACCTAAGACAGGGCATTTTTACTAGGATTAAATGTCAGGAATTGTGAAAAACTGAGTTGAAATGTATTTGGTTAAGGTGTATGTAAACTTCCGACTTCAACTGTACCTCATTAGGGCTTAACCTTTTAACAAGGTCGCTGGCATTGTACTAAGGACGCTATGATAGTATTGGACTTACATTTAAATTCAGGGGGACATTCATGTTAGCCATGCTGTCCTTGTGAGATCGCAGGTCATCTTGTTTCTGCTGGTTGACTGATGTCTTGTATTCTCCCTCTGAATACTCCACGTCTCCCGGCTCGTTGCCCTCGCATATCTTGGCGGTAACCTTGAAAAACATTTGTATTAGGAATATGTGAGCAACTGAGACAGTCCTGTGTCCTGTGACCCCATGCCCATTGGCATCTGTGATAGAAGGAGTGAGTAGGAATATACCCAATAACAGGCATAAGAAGGCTTTTTCTTTTGCTGTAGAAATTCATATTCATCTCAGAGTTGTTGAGGTTGCAGCTCAGGTCATGAACACAGTCCAACATCCGAAATCCTAATTGCAGACTCTAACCCTAAATTCTTCGCTACTGTGCACATTCTGTGGATCACTATAAAAATCCACTGGAACAAAATGTTAGATGAATTGTTAGATTCTAATGCACTGTTGGAGCAAGGAACACAAATATTTCGCTACACCCGGAATAACATCTGCTAAATATATGTATGTGACCAATACAATTTGATTTGATTTGAAAAATACATAAAGACCCACCAGCTCTTGTACTCTTTGAATACCCATCATCATTTTTTGTCAAGTATACGTGGCAGCTCAAATCCCCAGTCAATGGTCAGTGTCAACTGTCTGTGTTCTACGGTTGCAGGACTCAGTTCAACGTCTTATATGTGTTTGAAGCCGGCAAGCAATGAGATCATGTTCTAACCCGGGTGTCCTGCCTGGCTCCGCCACAGGGCAAGGTTTCCTGTCACGGCCTGGCCGGCACGTTTGGGAGAAGGAATGGGTGAGTTGAGAAAGCCATGGGAGTGAGTCGGATGCCTTTGGCTGCCATCGTCTCTGTCAGTCAGTTCCAGGAATGGAGGTGTAACCTGAGTTGCGGCACCAACTCTATGACTTCATGCCGCCATGCACGGTGACCAAAGGCTCCAGTCATGTAATGGCCCTCCACTCCCCCCTCTTACAGTTCCCACCAACAGCTGGCCCCGGGCCCTGTAGCCACATAGAACATACTGTAACTACCTCAGCTACGACACAGACAGGACAGGAAGGGACGACTTGGTAGGCTTACAGCATCCAAACGTCTATTTATACATATCAATGACTTGTGTTATGTGTTCTACTACCGCTTGATATATTATGTACAGACTGATATTTCTCAGTGGGGCTACTGACTGACAGACTGACTGACTGCATTTGGTGTGCCATTTTTATCTGATTGGGTTTCTGTCCCATTGCATTGCTTACCCTGGTCAATAAAAATATTACTACATGAAACTCACAGGAGGTTAGTGGCATCTTTAATTGGGGAGAACGTGCTCGTGGTAATGACTAAAGCGGAATAGGTGGAATGGTGTCAAATACATCAAACACATGATTTCCATATGTTTGATGCCATTCCATTTGCTCCGTTCCGGCCATTATTATGAGCTGTTCTCCCCTCAGCAGACTCATGCCCTGAAACTATTTTTAATGGAGCCGGTGATAAATCAAATCAAATTAAATTGTTTTTGTCACATGCACCGAATACAACAGGTGTAGACCTTACCGTGAAATTCTTACTTACAAGCCCTTAACCAACAATGCAGTTTTAAGAAAATATGGACTAAATAAACTAAAGTAAAAACAAATAAATAAGTAACACAATAAAATAACAATAACGAGGCTATATACAGGGGGTACCGGTACCGAGTCAATGTGCGGGGGTACAGGTTAGTCGAGGTAATTTGTACATCTTTCTACTGAGTCACATGGATGTGCTACGTGTTTGACAGCTGTCGGTTTTTAACGAGCACACACTAAGCTGTAGAGCTCAAAATGAACAAGTGAAACATAGCTCATTTTTAATGGTTACACCGGACTAATCCAGCCTGTCACAATTACCTTATTCCCATGTCCAATTGATAAATAGCACCATAAATGCTATCTTTAGCAATGTGGGTGGCGTAGTATTCGGGCATGTCTTGATTGTACGAAGAATATGTCTCAGTGACACAGAACATTAAGATGTAACCATTACATCTACATTTATAATTAGTCTCTCGCCCTGACATAGAAGAGACTACTTTATTAGGACTTTGACGATGTCTGGAAAGACCATGCCATGGGCTTGCATTCCTCTTACAGATCTCATTCATTCTGAAGGACAAACAGCACTTCATCACTTTTTGGAATAGTTGCGATGCCTGCTACCAAAGATACTGTCCGTTTTCTTTCTCAAAACTTGGTGCAGTAGGCCTAATCATTTTTTCACTTTTCACTGAAGTGAGATGGAGATTGGGTACATTTTAGAATCTCCACCTGTTCTTGTTTTGTATCTATGTGCCTGTTTGATTCACATTGATTGGAACTTGAATTGTCTATCCTGTTGATGTAATACCATGGACTGCATATGTGTTTACAGCGCAGTGGGTTGCACCTCAATTACTCTCTGATCAAGTGATCATTAATCCTACCATACTTCACAATGCAAACTTTAAATATAGAACACAAACCAATTGGATTACTATTACAATAATAATGATAACTGTTTCAATTGATTCCATAAATGTTCAGAGAGTGGAAATCATTTTGAAAAACTCATGCTTGTTATACAATGCACATTAACTAATGGAACTTGAGAAATATTTGCACAGTACTTTGTAGTTTAATTAAACACGTGCTGATGAAAATAAAACTAGCCTGGTGAAACCAGCCTGATCGCTGCGTTCACCATTCAATTTCACCAGGCTAGAAAAAAAAACATAACACCCACAAACACTGAAAGGCAAATATAAAAACATCCAAAAGCTCAAAGATCAACATGCTTTCAAGGATTGCCATGGATATGATCAGTATCCATATTTGATTACAGTTGGTATACAGTAGATATTCCCAAGTTACCAAATAATCCATGTTTGTACCAAAACCCTCACAGCAACTGTTGAGAACCTTTACAGCAATGTTGGTTGATGAATTGTGTCATTGTATTATCAACCAACATTGCACATCATTATTGTCAAAGTTGTTTGATTACTCAACAGTAGCCTATATGAGGATATATGAATACCGTATATTTACATTTTCTGCAGTGGCAGGATCCATGGCCTCAAATCGTCCCTACAAGGGTCTCTCTCTACCTGCTGGTGTAGTTTCTCAGTTCAGCCCAGTATTGTCAGGTGAGGGGGATATGATCTCTTGTGCTGTCAGCTCAATATCTTACTCCTGTGGGAAGTTGGCCCTCTTGAAAACACTGCTTTACAGCCTGTCTGCTACCTCCATCCAATCACATCCATTGCTTTACAGCCTGTCTGCTACCTCCACCCAATCACATCCCTCCCTCATCACTTACCTCTAACGCTGGAACGACCGTGAGATACGTCACTCCTGTTTACCTCCATCCTCATTTGGCAAGTTATTATGTTTTTTTTGCATTTCTCACTACCTTTACTCTCCACTTGGTGTTTTTGTTTATTTTCTTTCATTTTATTCACTTTTTAAAACAGTGTCATACTTTTTTTGTTACAGCAAAAAAGGACATGAAGACACTCCATGACCATTTTAATCTGAAGGTAGCTGAAGACATAAACCGGGTGGGAGTGAGCTATCAACATAAATGGGTGACAGGACATCTACGTACATAAGGACTGAGATACAGTTTCAGAACAACATACAAGTGAACAAGATATTTTAATGTTGTCAAGTTGTAAAAGTGTTGTAAGTCATGAGCCACCGCATGAGTGGAATAACAAGCAAGTAGCCGAACAGAAACAAAACCCCTGATCCCAAAGCTGGAAAAAAATAAAAGAATGTTCTTTATTCAACCTTATTTATGCAAGTCAATTTGTTAGGTCTCTTGCTCGGAGACATCAACAAAGAGAGTTTCTAGTAAAAAAATATAGCAGCTGTAAAATGTAGTGAATTGAATGAATTATTTTTAAGGTTTGGTTGTTTTTAAATCAATAAAGACTGTGCTCTGTCTTCCAGTTTAAACAGGTACAGCATAGTGGTAATGGGATTTAGAATGGCAGGGCTGGTTCCCCAGACTCAGATGAAGCCTACTCGGCATGGACTAAAAAGCACTTTAAATAAAAAATCTCCATTGAAAAAGGTTTTAGTCCAGAAGTAGGTTTTCAGACATGAAAAGTCTGACATTGTCCAATAAAAATGACTTTATCATGAGGTAATGTTCTTTCAAATCTAGCTGAAGTGGCAATCCTATCTCTGTCATGGTTGGCATACTTTTTGGATCGGGAATGTTGTATAGGACAATAAAACTATAAATAAAATGGCAGACATAAAAAGACCACCAGCGCAGGGGTCAGGGGTCAAGTTCTACCTCCTTGCACATCTTTCCTACCCTCAGAGTATCACGAGAATTCTTGTAAAACTAAATCTGTAACGCAACACGGCTGAAGGGCCTGTCTCTTTGCATATCAATACCTCTCATTCCTTGACCCTTCAACTGGTTATACCATCTGCTCTGTGCCTTTAAGAGTGGGCCAGATATGTCAGATCACCCACCACCCACCTTGACATAAAACAGAGTTTGTTCCGTGCTATCTTCATCAAATTTCAGGGTCGATTGAATAAGTAGGGCTGATTGCACATCTTAGAATTCAAACAATGCTTGAGGAAAGCATTGAGAATCACCTAGAGGTTTCAGTCTTCTGTGATCTGAGGCACAGCGCACATTTCAAAATGACTCTGGAGTCTGGACATGTGAATGTGGTTTGATATGATGCCATGGAGTTGTGTTGCACGAAGCATGTTGTGTGTAACTTAAGGAATGCATGTTGTGTGTAACTTAAAGAATGCATTGTGTCAAAAAGAGTGGGTGAGAATCATGTGACCCTCGACTGCTGCTGCACCGCTGTGCTGCGTAAAGACAGCAACACACAGAGGAAACATGCAGAACATCCTGTGTGTGTGTGTGTGTGTGTTTGCGCATGTCTGTGTGTGTCTGTGTGTGTCTGTGTGTGTGTGAAATAGAGGGTTACGCAATACTGTAGAAGCAACAGGTGATGCCTGTCAAACGTGATGGAAAGACTCGCACTAATGTCACATATTGATACATTACATGGGGATGGGGTCAAAGGGTAAGCTTGGCCAATAATAGAAGTGTCAAAAAAAAGAGGTGTAGTCACGAGATGGAAAATCGTTTGGTGATGTAAGGTCATACAGGACCAGCTACAACTAAT